TCGGAGAGCTCAACGGACCAGGAAACCATCCTTCCAACCAAGTCAGGTTTCCTGAGAATTTTAGCAACTGGATGATTCGTTCATACTACCACTTGATGGCTCTGAAAGTACGGTCAGAGACGGCGGGCTGTTGTTAGTAAGGCAAGAGCCACCTTTTCTATTTGGGAATACTGCTCTTCCGCCCCATGTAAGGTCCTACTGCCGAAATAAATCAACTTGAATTCTGGGGCTTCCTATATGAGATTCGCGCTCACAGTGTTGTTTGATGCAGCTACGTATAACTGTAAGTCAGACCTTGGTATCGGTCGGGTCATAATGGATGGATTAGTGAGGATATCTTTGACTGTAGTAAGAGCTTTTTCGCACGGATCATCCCAGTGTTGGGTGATCCCTTTCTTCATGTTCTTAAGAATATGTTTGATGTGCTCCACCAATCTTGGGATGAATCATGACAAAGTTGTTAGTCGGCCAACCAAGCGTTGCACCTCCTTCAGATTGGTGGGGTTTGCATCTCTAAGACCGTTCGACATTTATCCGGATTGGTCTTGATTCCTCGAGAGGTTAGCATAAACCCTAAGAACTTTCCGGCTGGTACACCGAAGGTGCATTTTGAGGGATTTAGCCGCATATCATACTATCGAACCTGAAGGAAAACTTCAGCTAAGTCTTTTAAATGTTGCTCCACTTATTGACTTCTGACCACTATATCGTCGACGTATACTTTCATGCATTTTCCAATTTGGTGGTGGAAAATTTTATCCATAAGACGTTGATAAGTTGCGTCTGCATTCTTCAGACCGAATGACATTACCTCATAATAGTAGTTGGTCTGCTCGGTTATGAAAGCTGTCTTTTCCTGATCTGGTACGTACATCGGGATCTGGTTATATCTCGAGTATGCTTCCAGAAAGCTTAACACTACGTGACTCAAAGCCCCGTCCACCAACCTCTCAATGCTTGGGAGAGGGTAGGAATCCTTAGGACACGCCTTGCTTAGATCTGTAAAGTCGACACACATTCTCCACTAGCCGTTCGGCTTTTTAACCATAACGACATTTGTTAACCATTTAGTATAGGTTACCTCCCTGACGAATTGGGCTTTTAGTAGCTTGGCGACCTCCACCTGTATTGCGTCTCGCTTTTCTTCACCAAATCTTTGCTTCTTTTGAGCGATCGGTCGTGCTTCTCTAAATATGGCCAATTTATGCATCATGACACTCGGGTGGATTCCTTGCATATCGGAGGCTACCCAGGCGAACAGATCGGCATTAGCTTTCAACATTTCTGCCAAATTAGACTCATCGATCGACTCCAGCCCTCCTCCTATGGATGTTGTTTGTGATTCATTTTTTCCCAGTATGAACGTCTTGACATCTCCCTATGGTTGGATGTGATCATCGACGTTGGTTCTTGGGTCAAGGTCGATCGTCGTTGTCTCTGCCCCCCTAGACTTCTTTGGGGGTACAAAGGGTGTGACTTTTAGGCCAACAACATAACATTGTCGAGCCGTTCGTTGATCGGCCCTCACCGTATAAATAGTACCCTTATCGGACGGGAACTTCATAGCTAAGTGAGGGGTGAATACAATGGGTCTGAAAGCATTCTAGAAGGGTCTTCCTAGTAGTGCATTACAAGAAGTGTTTGCTTCTACCAGCAAGAACCTTATTTTGATCTCTCTTGCCTCCTTACCTTTCCCAAGTCGAGTTCTTAAGTCCAGCTATCCTCGAGTATCTACTCTTTCTCCTACGAACCCCACAATTTTCTCATTGAATGGGGCTATTATGTCTTCGGATAGATCCATTTTTAGGAACGTAATCCAATATAGGATGTTGACCAAACTACCTTGATCCATCAACACTTTACTAACATCATATTGTGTTATCTCGGCAGTGATGACCATGGGATCATCTTGATAAGGGTCTGGCGCGTGGAAATCTGCATTGGTAAAAGTGATATCTTGCATAGATCGGGGTTATCGATCTACCATGTAAACATTTTTTCAAACTCTTCAAGTGTCTCTTTCGGGCTGAAGATGATTCCCCTCCCCTGTGAAGCCTCCCGATATGGTATCAATTCGTCTGCGGACAGATCTTTCCTGTTCACGATCACGACTGCAGCTTCGGGAGTGCCTCCTACGTCGGTCGTCTTTTCGGGATGACCGTTCGGGGCTTCTACGTGAAGCTCTCCCTCTAAGGGACTTCTCATTTTAGACTCATCTTCTCTAACGTACTTTCGAAGATAGACCGCCCGAACGAGCCTTTCTATTTCATCCTTCACTAGGGTGCATTCTTCGATGGAGTGGCCATGGTTTTTATGAAGATGACAGACTCTTCCTTTGTCGGCATTCTTTGCGGACGGTCTTTTCCGAACCGTGAGTAGTTCGATGTGAAGGGCTTCTTCGAGTACTTTTATGCTAAGTGCGTTAAGGGGTGTATAATGATCATATTTAGGCGTCCAGGCGAGTTCCTTTCAGGGAGGCCTGTCGCTTTTGTTGGAAAATTGCTTCCCTTCTTTCTTGCTCTCACTGGTGGGGACTTCCCGTTGCTTCTTCCTTGAGGTTCTCATGTCCTCAATACGGATAAATTTAGCAATCCTCTCCTGGAGTTCGTCTATAGATTTTGGTGGTCTGACATACAACAGTTCAGAAAAATAGCCAGGTTTTAAACATGACGGCAAGTTATTGATGACGAAAATGTGATTCACATCTTTCACCCGTCGCGCGATCTCGTTGTATCTTTGGATGAACGCCTTTAAGGTTTCATCTTTTCCTTGCTTGCTGTTTATCAATTTTGCTAGCTTCCGATTGGATGCATACTACTTTTGAAAAGAGTTTCTATCGTGGCAAAACAGTCTATTGTGTTTGGAGGGAGGGTATGGTACCATTCCAGTGTTTCATCCCTTAATGATAAGGAGAAAGCCCTGCATATGACTGGATCACTATCTGTGCAGAATGCCATCGCATTGGTGAAGATCCTGAGGTGGTTATTAGGGTCCGCCGAGCCATCGTATCTCTCCAATGTCGGAGGAGGTTTCTCCGGCATAGGAGTTTGCATGATGGCCGCCGTAAACGAAAGTAGACCGATAGGCCGAATAGTTTGAAGGGGTGTTGGCGTGGGTTCCCTTCTTCCCCGACCGCCAGGTTCAGTATGGGCAGATCGTTCCCCGTTACGACTATCCTCATTATCCCCATGTCTGTTTGAGGCGGATAGTTCGGGTGAGGGTCGTTGTGCCCTTAAGGTAGCAATTTCTTCTGCATGTTTCCACTGTAACTCCTATTGTTCCTGTATGGTCCGTGCTTGTGCTTCGATCTGGGCTTGTAACTCTCTGATTAGATCTCTGATGTTCTGCTCTTCCATATTTCTTATGGTTACCATTGGGTGTCTTCAAGCCTCGGCCCCACGGTAGGCGCCAAAATGTTTCAGTGTGGATGTTGCGGGACCGAGATACTGTTTAACGTGCTTTCCTTGTTTCCGGTCGTCTGATTGCTTGAGCCGCTCATTTTCTTTTGCGCTAGACCGTTCGGTTTCTCCCAGCTATGACCGCTCGGCTATCAATATCTTTAATCAGATATCTTTGATTATTTTATCCTCTGTTGGACTATTAGCTCAATAATAACTTAAACGCTGACCCATTTACTTATTAGCTCATCAACGTATTACTCTTAAATTAAGTCACGCAATTTTTGGCCCAACTACAACCCAATCCAACTAACCGATCGCCCAACTCTCTTAATCGTTTGGCCTGGATATCATACTATACCGTTTAAAATAAATATATTACTCGTGCTGAGAATTATATCAAAATACAATGTATCAATTAACAAAATAAATGTGTAAAGTTTTGAAAAATTAAAAATTTCTTATATCAATATTTTAGCCTCAAAATTTAGTTCTTAATATTAATATATATAACTACGGGATAAAAGGGGTTGAATGACAGTAAAAATCATCCCATCCTCTTCAAATAATAATATCCTTAAGAAACAAAAACCTAATAGAGTCCAGACCTTGGTAGATGACTCTTTGGTCTATTTTCAAAGTCCCGTTAGACTTATTCTCAATTGGAGACACATTATCTTAAGTAAGAGTTGGAAGGAACATAATTTTAACTTTTTCAAACCTCCACGCTTAGAGTTGCTCTTTTTTCTCATACTATATTAAAAACTTATCTCATGGAGATTTGATAAATATTTCAATTATAATTTTCCACTTGTTGATAAATCAGAAAACATATATTTCTCTTTTATTTTGAGAAAATTAATAGAGTAGGAAATTTTTTGTGTTATAATCGTAGTTTGTGGGGGGTTTCATGAGATAGTATTCTTTTTTTTATATAATTTTGTTATTATATTCTAAACTTATACATCGTTATAATATTGATACAATTTTGGTTGTATATACAAAACTTGCAAATTGTATTTTTTATAAACCTATAATTTATTATTATTATTAGATTAGTTTAGATATAGGAACTTTGTAAATATATATTAATTAAAAGAGATGAGAAAATGTTCTTAAAAGAAAGTTAATATAGATATACATAAAATAATATTTTAAAAATAAAAAGTAGTAATAATACAGGATGACTATTTTTTTATTTTTTTTTATCCTGAGGGTACTTAAAATCCTTTAATCCGTATACAGATTTTATTTACAGAGCTAAAAGAAAAGATGATATCTCTCTTCAGAATTCCCCAACAAACTCCATCTTGGTTAAATTAAACCATTTTTTTGTAATTAAAGTGCAATAAATATTTTTGTATTTAACTGAAACCCTTGTATTTATCAAAGGTTACTAAACCAAGGGAAAGTAACTTGGATTTCACTTAAGTTTTCACTTTTAAAGAATTATTGCCATGAAAATTGCGCTTAACCGAGACTAAAATAGTAACTTGGGCAAAAAATAACAGTAACCCCACTACAACTATAATTTAATTATCTGAAATTAGACTATGGCAGTTGAAGAATCATTATCTAACAACTAATCTCTTAGATTATATAAGTATATTCCTCCTTTTATCAAAATAAAAAATATAAATGTTTATCTTTATCCTCCCTGTGTTTAATAGTATATTTTAGGTTATTTTTCAGTACAGTTATTAGTTTTCCAACAAAAGCAGACAATTCTCAATAATTATAACAACTTTTTGCATGAAACAGGCCCTCGTTAATATAGGAGCACAGCAACATAACATTAGCAACATTTACAAAAACTAATGAACAAGTTGCTGGGCTAAAGGGCAGTAGTTACAGGAATGGATAATTTAAAATGTCTAGATTATACTGAAGATACATAAAAGTTCAAGATATCTTCTTCACTTTCCTCTTTTCTTGTATGGAAATTTTTGCCTATTTGACTATAGAAATGTAAGTTGCACCGTTCAATCCAGCATAAAAACACTTTACAAGAACTCAATGTCATTTTCCTTGTATTCAAGAATGATAGAGGCAAGAGCAAGTCTATAAGCTGTAGATCTCAAATTCCTGACAAGTACATATATTTCTCTCCTCTTTTTCATAGGCATCTCCTTCCACTGTTCCTCTCTTAAATGAGATAGTAAAACAGCCTCGCAAAAGCCCTCAGCTAAAAGACTCTTGCTGCAATGACATTGCACTCGGTAAGATCCTCTATAATGAGACATTTAAATGTTTTGTAGACATTATGCACATACTAGTAAATGATTAAAGTAAAAAATCGATAAGATTTTACTACCTTCCTTGAACAGATCCTGTTGTGACAAAGCCAATAGGCCACCGGTGAGATTTGCTAGCAATAGAATCATCTGGTATCTGCATTTCCCATCTACCAGAGGAATGTTCTTTGAAGTATAATCGCATAGCAGACTGAGACATTTGAAGTCCCTCTTCATTTATCTCTGAACTGCAACAATAAACACGAAATATATAATTAAATTTAAAAGATTTATATTAGTCTGCACAGAAGTTTTAAATTTAATATCATTTCCAAGCAACAGGAGAAGAATGAATCATTTCATCTTTATCTTGTACTTGAAAGAGTCGGAAAAATCACAGACTTATACAATGTATAGCAACATTTGTAAGATTCCATATGAATTGCATGAACCATAAAAATGAATTTAAGAAAATCAATGTTGCTTGTTAGTTGCTATTCTTTACCAAATTCCAGCCTATAATTAGCCAACATAGGTGTGGGCTAAATTAACAGAAAAATTTACTAGAATAATGGATCATATCCAACAAAAACAAAATATTATTCTCAATAATAAAATAGGAATTCATAATTTAAATATTAATTACCTTGAAGTCCATAAAAATATGTCAGAAGGATATGGTACACAAATAACTGCACCCTCTTCAAAACAACCTTCCTTGAATGGACGAAGATGAACTCTTAGAAAAGATGGCTTATGGTCACATATGTCAGAGCTTGTATACCTTGGATCAAGCTTTAATTCTCCATTAATAAACTTGGAGATTCTAGCCTCTCCATCTGTTGCATAAGGAAACAATAACAACTGACCGACTTTGGTTTCATGGAGGAATGTGGTCAGCAAAGAACCTGTCCTAACTACAGTTCCATTAAACGAATTACTCCAAGAGTCAGAGTTTGAGATTTTAAAGCTACCAGGGTAAGGATTTGGTAATGAACTGAAGTTGGTCAAATCTTCCCTTGTTGAAAGATCAGGAGTCTTCATTGAACTAATCATTTTGTCAAAAGTAATGCGAACGATACCCCATGGAGTTTGGATGGGAACTCTCAAATGCCTTATGGATGGAGGACGAAGTTCTTCTTTTTTATTAAATGCAGCTTCTTTATCTTCCATTAAACAAGAGTATGCCTTACAATCTGGAAAATCTGAAGGGAAAACTGGTAGCCCCATCTGGATAAAGAGAAAAAGATATATTAGTTACAGTATAAAGGCAGAAAGTTTGCATTTTTATGCAGTTGGAGATGCAATGCAAATACTCACTTCACATGTAATCCAATGCTTCTCTTGCAAACCTATTGCATGTGCCCCATTGGAGATAAGCGGAATCCAGAAAGCTTTGACCCAACTTAAGGGAAGTATAACGGACCATCTAGAAGCAAATTACAGAAGCATTCATTGTATAGTATAAAGGAAGGTTTTGACATAAATATTCAATGCATTGCAAGGAATCATGTTCAATCTCATCAGGGTATTAAAACTTAAATTGTGATATGTTTGTCTTATTATTGTTCTTGTAGTATATATCTTAAGCAAGTGATCACAAATACCTATTGTTTGTTTCCAACAATAATGAAATAGTCTAGATATATGTTCATAAACAACACCAGTAAATTCAAGAAATTAAAAGGAAAAATAGATTAAAGAAGTTACCCAATGCTCAATTCCTTCACATCATTTTTTAAAAGAAGAATAGGGCAAGATCTCGAGCTCTGCACCTTAGTTGAAGAGCTGCCATGTCCAGAATCTGTATCAACAAGGCAGAAATTAATCATTCGTTCATGATGTTTCTCCTTGGAAAGGACATTGTCTTCCACTGGGGGCCTCAACCTTCTGGTGGTAGCATACCATAAATCATCAACATTAGACTGGCAAACTTCAAGTTTTGACCATGATAATGAAGATAAATCTTTGTTCTCTTCCAAAATTCCTCCCAGTTCAGCAAGCTCTTTGCACTGTGTTTCCGATGCATCACTCAAAGTCTTAGTTGAAATGTGCTCCACTGGAACAACATTCCTCTTCCATGGCAATTCTCGAGGATCCTTAACATTAAGAGGTAACATAGCACAAGAAGAAAAACTATCTCTATTTTTCAGTGTGGTTGAATTTCTATTCTGAGAAACACACCCTTCTTCAATCACTATATGTTTCTTTAATTGCCAATGATTCTCTGAAATACTAAAAGCCAAGAAGAAAAATAAGCCATTTTTTTATCACTAATGTTATAAAAAAAAAAAAAGAAATTTTTTGCCCAAACTAAACAACAAACCCTCCAACAGGATGAAGTATCTTTTGAAGAAGTTGAAATGCCCGTAATCCAAATAATTCTAATTTTGCAAGTTGACCCTCAAGGGAAAAGCAATTAATTAATATGCCCGTCTTCTCCATCTGAATAAAAAAGAATATTACAAGTGAGTTTATATATAGTTTACAATTTTAAATTTTTTAACTTCATCAGGAATATTAAAACCTTGACCAACCAACACCAACCAAATTAAAACCAAATAGAATTTTATCTGAAACATAACATTTTTTTTTCCAATTTCTACATTTAAGCAAATTTCTAGCACAATTAATGATATTGTGATTTCAGACAAAAAACCTTTTCATATGAAGTTACATAATTACAGAAATAATGTGATAGGTTCAGGCAGTTATAACTGTCTGTGTGGTGGACTATTGTAAACTGACTATTATATATAGTTTGTACAAGGTTGTTTTCATTAGTCTGGGAGTTCTTTGATAGTAAAAGGAAAGGGAGAGACAGGTCTTCTTGAAAGACCTGGTGTTGTGTGTGTTCTACATCCTAGTGCAGACCAAGTTGTCTCGTTTCATTGTAAGATCATCCAAGAACCTGTCTTGGAGTTCTTTGAGAAAGTAATAAAATCTGAGTACCTATCATTGGTATTCAGAGCCTCTTTCTTGGTGATGTGGTGGTTGTTGAGGCATGGTAATTACAAGAATGGAGGCAAGATTGGATGTGCTGGAGAAAGTAATGCAAGAACAGGACAATGAGAATCATAGAAGGTTCCAACGATTGGAGGAGATGATTAAGGGGCTGACGATAGTGGTTAAAAGATTAGCATCCTTTGATAAGCATACAGAGGACAACGTTTATGTTGCCAAGGGAGGAAATGAAGGCAACCGGGGTAAAGAAGTAAGAGGTTCCTTTGGGATTTCTTCAAAATGTGTTAGGTTTCTGAGTAAGAAACCTAATTAACCACGATTACAGTAGGTAGAAAAGATAATGAAAGAATGAATTTCTCTTATTAATGGTAATAGAATTCTCTAAATAAACAAAAGTAAACAAGAATAATTGGGAGCATAACCTCCCACACAGGACTGTAGCCGCTTGTCCACAAACTCAATAATCAAAACATAACCCTAACACTAGAATCTAGCTCTATTTATATTAAATATTTCCATACAATATAGCTCTATTTACGATAAATATTATACTGAATATTTCCCTAGAATATAGCTCTATTTACTATAATTATTTCCCGCCCATCTTATACTGAATATTTCCCTAGGATATAGCTCTATTTACTATAATTATTACTAAATATTTCCCGCCCATCCTAACTGCTACAACAATTAGGATAGTAACTCTTCAATCGATCGGCTCCAGTTCTTGACCTCTTTCCACCGTTCGCCTCGAGCCCTCACCGCCTTCTGTCGTTTGGCTCGATTCCTCACCACTTTCCATTGTTCGGCTTGACCTCTCCCCGCCTTCCACCGTTTGGTGACCTTCTTCTCCCTCACTGCCTTCTATCATTCGGCTTGACCTCTTCCCGCCTNCATAAATCTTTGTTCTCTTCCAAAATTCCTCCCAGTTCAGCAAGCTCTTTGCACTTTGTTTCCGATGCATCACTCAAAGTCTTAGTTGAAATGTCCTCCACTGGAACAACATTTCTCTTCCATGGCAATTCTCGAGGATCCTTAACATTCAGAGGTAACATAGCACAAGAAGAAAAACTATCTCCATTTTTCAGTGTGGTTGAATTTCTATTCTGAGAAACACACCCTTCTTCAATCACTATATGTTTCTTTAATTGCCAATGATTCTCTGAAATACTAAAGGAAAGAAGAAAAATAAGCCATTTTTTATCACTAATGTTATAAAAAAAGGAAATGTTTTGCCCAAATTAAACAACAAACCCTCCAACAGGATGAAGTATCTTTTGAAGAAGTTGAAATGCCCGTAATCCAAATAATTCTAATTTTGCAAGTTGACCCTCAAGGGAAAAGCAATTAATTAATATGCCCGTCTTCTCCATCTGAATAAAAAAGAATATTGCAAGTGAGTTTATATATAGTTTACAATTTTAAATTTTTCAATTTCATCAGGAAAATTAAAACCTTGACCAAGCAACACCAACCAAATTAAAACCAAATAGAATTTTTATCTGAAACATAACTTTTTTTTCCAATTTCTACATTTAAGCAAAATTCTAGCACGATTAATGATATTGTGATTTCAGACAAAAAAAATTTCATATGAAGTTACATAATTAAAGAAACAATTTGATAGGTTCAGGGGATGTATATATTAGAAGAAATAAGAGACAGACAGTTATAACTGTCTGTGTGGTGGACTATTGTAAACAAACTATTATATATAGTTTGTACAGGGTTGTTTTCATTAGTCTGGGAGTTCTTTGATAGTAAAAGGAAAGGGAGAGACAGGTCCTCTTGAAAGACCTGGTGTTGTGTGTGTTCTACATCCTAGTGCAGACCAAGCTGTCTGGTTTCATTGTAAGATCATCCAAGAACCTGTCTTGGAGTTCTTTGAGGAAGTAATAAAATCTGAGTACATGTCATTGGTATTCAAAACCTCTTTCTTGGTGATGTGGTGGTTGTTGGGGCATGGTGATTACAAGAATGGAGGCAAGATTGGATGTGCTAGAGAAAATAATGCAAGAACAGGACAATGAGAATCATAGAAGGTTCCAACGATTGGAGGAGATGATTAAGGGCCTGACGATGGTGGTTGAAAGATTAGCATCCTCTGATAAGCATACAGAGGACAACGTTTCTGTTGCCAGGGGAGGAAATGAAGGCAGCCAGGTAAAGGAGGAGGTTCCTTTGGGATTTCTTCAAAATGGCAGAAGTTGGACATTCCTGTGTTTACAAGAGACTAAGCTTATGGCTGGACCAACAGGCTGGAGAAGTATTTTCGTTTGGAAGAAGTCAATGAGGAGGAGAGCATGCAGGCTGTGATGGTTGCTTTGGAGGGGGAAAGCTTTGAATTGGTTTCAACAATGGAAAACCTGCAATCTGCATCCGACATGGGAAGCTTTCAAAGACATGGTGGTTAGACGATTTCAGCCAACAATGCTGCAAAACCTATTTGAAGTTTTGATTGGGCTATTCCTGTGAGAAAATAGAGAAGATTAGGAGAAATCTCCCTTATGTGTTTAGCATACACATAGGTTAGTTTATTTATAATGTAAGATAAGGGTTAAACCCTAAATACAGAATGGGCTAAGCCCAATTAACATAAACACACAACTTAACATCTAACACTCCCCCTCAAGCTGGAGCATATAAATCATATATTCCAAGCTTGTTACAAAGATGATAGTCCAATTCTGGGTCCTCGTAAGGGGAACTTTGGTGATATTGTCTGCAAACTGGTTGCTTGGGAGTTAACGAAACTCAGTCTTGATATTCTACGGATAGATGTTTTCCTATAATAAAATGACAATCAAACTTCAATGTGCGTGGGGTTCTCTCATGGAAGACAGGGTTAGAGCTAATACGGAGGAGGAGCAGCTTGTTGACTTGTTGATTATCACATATAAGTGTCATGCTCGGAGTGAAGTGACATTCTCCAAAAAATTTTCAATCACTAAGTAAAAAGTAATGTTTTTAAGCACAACAAGCTCGCAAAGTAGCAGATTGCCATCATAGCTCAATATTTCGTGCTTATCGCTGGGACCTTGCCACAACACTGGCTTTATTACTTTTCAAGATATAGGTTGCCACCAAATTAGAAGACACAATTATCCAAAAGTTAGGGACCCTTCATAGCAGAAGGGGAAAACCCAGCCCCAAATCAGCGATCTGAAAATAGCAAAAACAATTTTTTGTATCGTTGTTTTAGGGCCCTTATAGCAAACCTTTTTCCGGGTGATTCCTTAATTACTTCAGTATGCGAAACAATGCATTCCCAATGGTTCTTAACAGGGGGAGGTTTTAGAAATGAACTCACCACACTAACTGCGAAGGGGAAATGTTCAGGACGAGTAAACATAAGATAGTTTTAGTTTTTACCAACTAAATCTTCTGTACAGTTCAGGATTTGAGGAAAGGCTCCCCCTGATTTGGTTAGGATGTTTGATGTTAAGGATCCATGGTGTCTCCAACAGATTTAACACGTTTCATTAAAACCCGGTTTCCTCCAAGATGTCTAATGCATTATTTCCTCTGAGATATGACATAACCATCATTGGAAATTGTTGCTACTTCAATACCCAAAAAAGTATCGGATGTTTGCCAGATCTTTGGTTTTGAATTGAAAAATTGATGACAAAGGTGTGTTTCATCTTGAGGAGATTGCCGAGCTAGTCAACGTCCTGTTGAGAACAATATCATCGGACATTACACATTAAAGTAAATACATCCAGCACTTGAGTGGCGATTTTTTTAGGGAAACACTCAATGATCCGCTTCACTCAGAGGACATACCACATTGTGAACAACAACAACGAAAATTTACCAAAAACCAGGGGCCCCAAGGAGCAATGGTTTTAGGCCATATAAGGATTTGCGAAGAAAGACGACATACCACATCCAGATTGACTCCGCCCCTGAGCAACAAAACGCCAGGGCGGGGTGCTCCATATAAATTTCCTTCATGCAAATCACCATTTAGGAAGCATTTATTGTTTTTTGGTTTTGACATTCAAGTTGATAAAAGAGGCCATTGTCGATGTCGAAGGGAGCGGCCATGGCAAAAAATGAATAGGCGAAACACAAGAAAGGGTCATTTTTGCCACTTGGAGGAAAAAGTATCACCATATCCAACCAAAAAATCTGTGTGTGATTTGTGTTTGTTGTGTAGCCTTTGGCAAAAAAACCAAGTAGTCGAGCTTAAGACGATTCCAATTGTGCCATCAGGGGGGCCAAACAGTGACACATACACCCACTGCACACCAACAACAGACTTTATCGATGGGAATTGGACAAGCTCCCAAGTTCCACTTTTCTGTAAAGCACTTAATTCATCCAGCATAGCTTGACGCCAGCCAGGATGAGTTAAGGCATCACCACAGATTTAGGAATGGACACAGAAGAAATGGATATGATGAGAGACAGGTGGTAAAAAGAGGGAGGATAATCTCCTTTTTTTGGTTAAAGGTAACTAGAATAGTATAATTGAGGGAAGGTTTACGGGGTAGTTTTTTTTTTCTAGGAGGCGGTATACCTTACGGAGAAGGGCAATAGGGGCAAAAGTCAGACTCAGTTGCTGGAGCCGGAGGAGACAACATTGAGGCGGCACCAGAAGTGAGTCATGGAGGGGAAAGAACGATTACGGCGGGACTTAAATAAAACCTGAAGGGCGTGGAAGGTTTGGAAAGGAATGATCAAGTTGGTGAATGAATGAGAGTCTAAGGAAGGAAGAAGACAAAAAATGGGTTGGAGGCATCACCAGGAGGCTCACATTTCCCAAGAGGGAAATATCAAACAGGAGTAACAGGAGAGGTACAGAAACTGGAAAAGATAGATGTGAAAAGTAAAAAAAGGAAGACTCATCAAAAAGTGACATCAGCAGGAGATTTAAAAATGACGATATTGGGGGAAGGGGAAAAGAAAGCAAAAAGGGGGAAAGGAAAAAAAAAAAAAAAAAAACACTTAGAGCCATTTTGTGACCGTGGGGAAATCCTAACTAAGAAAAGACCAGTTGTGAGACCTAGGAGATAAACTATCAAGTGGGACAGGACTAAAATCATGAACAAAAACATGTAAAACCCAAAACTTCGAAAGAGGGTAATTTTAATGGATGCAGAGGGTTCTTTGAGGGAAATAGATGAAATTGAGGGCTTTTTTGTTATTCTGGGACGGGAAGGATGGGGCTGCGGTTGATAAGATAACTGCTGTTGGTTGAGAACTGCATCACCCCCAAACAAAAACGTAGAGGGTGTTGAGGTACTTGACCCCCATTGAGATAAATAAGAAAGTGTACGAAGTTGTTTCAATTAGGGTGGTCTATTCTTGCGCTCAGCCCCACCCATTTTGTTGAGGGGTTTATTAGGTTTGTTATAAGCACATTGAGGTTTGGTTGAAGAAGAAGAATGCCATGAGAAAAAAGCCATATAAAAACTGTTTAAACGGTTGAGAAAAAGGAGAAAAGGTATCACGGCCATTATCACTGCGTAAAAGTCTGAGAATTAGAAACCCCAAAAACTGAAGTTTTTATTTCATTGAAAAAAAAAAGATTGAAAAAATAAGAAAAAAAACTCAGAAACGGGATTCTTCATGAGGATACAACCAAAGTTACATCGGAAATAGTCATTCAATTAAAGGTAACAAAATACTGAAATCCAAAAAGTTGAGCTTGAACACGGCTTTAGGGGGCCCCAAATATCAGGAAATGAACCCAATAATGAAAAAGGGGATAGGATGACGCTCTTTGTGACACAATACGAGGAAAGGGAACTACGAGTATGTTGACCTAAAACTGAACAAGGACTCAACCGACTGATAAGTTCGACAGACTGGAACAAGTTGCTGCAGTTTGGCAAGGAAACTTGGATGGGGACCCTAAAATGAGCATATGGGGAAGAAGGGGAGATGATGGGTGAAAATCCATGAGTTACGGCCAAGCATGTGGGAAGAAAGGGCTGAGATGATATAGGCCCCATGAGGGGAACTCACATTCTTGTTGCCAAAATCCATGGTGTTTCGAACTTACGGGTCATGCAAACCCCAAACAGCATCTTTGGTAAATGAAAATAACACAATTAAGGGACGAGTTAGTTAAACGACTTACGGACAAATAAGTTTTAAAAGGGGAGGACCCAGGGACATAAAGTAACATTATTCAATGGATATGGACGGGAAAAAAATATGAACAGTACCAATACCATGAGATGAGGACTCTTAGACCCATCAGACCATCGTTACCGGGTGGTTTAAATTACCCGGGGACCATGACAAGGAGGGGGAAAAACAAAGGGACTATTACCAGTGATATGATTCGGTTAGCGCATGTGGGAGTCAGGAACCCAAAGATCCGAGTGAGAGGGAGAAGTGAGAACGAGAAGAGGAGAGAGTGAGTCAGACCAACAAAAGGGGTACCTGTGTGCGTATAAAACGAAGAAAGATGTAAGGTGGAACTAGGAGGTTGGCTTGACGGTTCCTCATACCCATCTGAGAAAATTCCTTGAAAAGAGTAACAGGGGTAATTTATGGTATTTGATTGTGAAGATAAGGATGGTCTGCAGACGGTGAGGTGATCGGGGAGGTGGATCAGGAAATAGCCATTGCTATAGTCGAGGGAGGACGTCCATGAAAGCACCATAGCATCTATTCAATTTTGGTGGGCCTAAAATTGCCACAATGGTCCCATTTGGGACCGGTCCTTTACTTTAACCTAGTTGGCGAGAGGAGGGACCGGACTCGGGACCGACTCCGATTTCATCCAAGTTGGGCAGCCTTTGGAGAGGGAGAGGAAACCCTAAAAATCAAAGTGGCTTCCGAATTTATTGACGCAACGACCACAGATCCAGAAAAAAAAAAGGGGGCGAGGAAGGCGATTTCAAGGCGTGCTGATCGGGCGGCGGAAACTCTCGGCGGACGGTGCCGGGGCACGAGCAGAGGGAAGCGGCGGCAGCAGTTGGAGTGAGTGAGTGACTGTTTGCAGCGGGCGGCGCGTGGAGGCGCGTGGGTGGTCCGTTCGCCGCGATCTTTGGACCACGGTGGTCGCCCGGCCGAGACGATTCCAATGGTGTGGTCGTCGGTCGATTCTGGAACTCCGGCGACGGCGGCGGCGACTGCAGCGACAGCGGCGGTGATGGGTACCGGAGACCGTGGAGTTGGCGGGAACTATTCCTGTGCTCTAGATACCATGTGAGAAAATAGTGAAGATTAGGAGAAATCTCCCTTATGTGTTTAGCATACACATAGGGTAGTTTATTTATAATGTAAGATAAGGGTTAAACCCTAAATACAGAATGGGCTAAGCCCAATTAACATAAACACACAACTTAACATCTAACAATTCCCAACTAGACAAGTGGGAGAATATATTGAACAATTTGAACAGTATGCTAGACTCTAGGAATATAGCAAGATTATTTGATTGGCATATTCTTGAATGGTTTGAAGGAAGAAATCAATGTTGAAGTTAAACTGCAGGAGCCCAAGAATCTTGTTGAGTTAATGATGAAGGCTCAAATGGTAGAAGAAAAGGTTAGAGTCACCACCAAGGGGAATCTCTCACTGTGCAGCTTCAAAGTAACACCTACAAACAGTTGCCACCTTCTCATAATTACTCAAAGGAAGTGGGAAATTCAGTGGGTTTTACCAACTCCAACAGAGGAAGTGGAGAGAGCAGTGGCTGTGTCAGCACCATCAATATTCTCCTGCTGGAACTCCACAAAAAGGGGCACCATTTAGAAAATTGTCCCAAGGGAATATGCTTAAGGTGCGATGAGAAGTTTGGGTCTAATCATACTTGCAAGTCAGGAATTAGGGGAATCTGCTGCCTGCCTTCATAAATAATTTCCAGACCTTCACCTTGAGAATAAGGTGAATCTTCATGGATGGATATTGATAGGTTTGATACAGTTTACAAAAGAAGTAAAAAAGAAGGTAGTTAGTACAGTTGAAAACACCTCTCATCCATTAAAAACAGTTGTGAAGCTGCTACAGCCATCAATACTGAGTTTCTTGCTTTTTCACCTAGAGGACAAAGTGAAACTTCAAGGAGGGATATTGATAGGTTCAGGGGAAGTATATATTAGAAGAAATAAGAGAGACAGACATTATAACTGTCTGTTGTAAACAAACTACTATATATAGTCTGTATAGGGTTGTTTTCATTAAGTCTAGGAGTTCTTTGATAGTAAAAGGGAAGGGAGAGACAAGTCCTCTCGAAAGACTTGGTGTTGTGTGTGTTCTACATCCTAGTGCAGACCAAGCTGTCTGGTTTCATTGTAAGATCATCCAATAACCTGTCTTGGAATTCTTTGAAGTAATAAAATTTGGGTACCTATCATAATGAAAAGTTATCAAGCTGAGATGTGAATGCAAATAATGTCCCATAACCCAACCATGCCTATTCACTAGGGTAATGAAATGTAGCACTGACATGAAATGAAAGCCTTTCAAATGGACAATGAGAATGGAGAATAGCACTGTAAATTGAGATTATTTGTAACACACTGATAAACAAACTCATGAAGGCCAACAGAAAAAAATTAAAGGAAAACTAGGCACAGTAATTAGTGTAGTTATAGAATTCGTTAGAATTTATTAACAGCAGTTACTTACCAAACTATAAAGGTAGTTGTTAGGCTTCTTTAGTCAAGAAGTCTAACTATCACTCAAAATGGCACACACTCACTTACCATATTACTGGAAACAGAACTGTATTATTATTGTAACCAAAGAATACAAGAATAGGAGAGCACTCCCTCCTCCAAGGGTTTCCCTTTCACAAAGAGCCAAAGCTCAATCTACAAGATTATCCAAAAAGTACCCTCACACAAGACCTCCCTGCCTTCTTATAAAGGCCCCCCTGACCAACTAACCAATAACAACTAATTCCTAATTTATTTCCTTCTATTCTGCACACATTATATCCTAACAGTAGGTAGCTAATTTAAATAGTAGAAGGGAAGTAGAATCCCTCATTCAGCAATGTTAGCAATTCAGAAAAGAACATTAGCTTTTTTGGAAGGAAAAACTCGTTTGTACTTTCATTATTGAAACAACTATATTACGTTTTCCCAATCCTTTCTATATGAAATCTCAGACTCTGATTTTGGGTTTATATCAAACAACAAAGAAAAAAAAAAAACAACACGAAGTACCATGTAAGAAGCTGAAAAAGAAAGTGAACCTCTTTCTGACAGGCAATTTTTAGATTATTAAATCCTTCTTCAAAGGCAGAAGCATGTATCCACACCCAAAGGTGTCTAAATGGAGAACCATGCTTCACTTTGTCTGGTTTTTCACATAATTCAACACTATGTTTGTTTGAATCATTACCGATATCATGTTGTCCAAAAGAAGTATAATGATTTTGTTCATCTAGCTGTGTACTTATATTTTGTTGGGAAATTGGTTGCCATATATAGGTCACAGGAGCAATGGGTGGACAAATGAGGCCTCCATCTTGACGCAGCTGTAAAGAAATAAAATTTATTTCACTATTTTAAACCAAACTGGAAGTCACTGGAGTCAAAAATAGGTTACCTACCATTGCACTTCCATAGGTTACACCAGAGATTAAAGAGTCCGGATGTGTAGTTGTTGGAGAGGGTTCTAGTACCGATCTCAATACTGAAATCAATGAGTCCTGTATATAGTAGTCAACATTAGATAAAACAGAAAACTAAACCATCACTATCTAGGGCTGAGAGCCCACAATAATTGTTCGGAGCAAGCATCTCAATAGGTTTCAATGAGAGAACAAGGCATTAGAAAGTCTTAGACTCAGATGCCTAACAATGAAAAAGAAGAAATTTCCAAAAAAAATACTAAAACCAAAACTAAAATAAACTACCTCTGGACCCTCCAATTGGAGGGCAGTGTAATAGCTTGCATCGTGTACAAGCACCCCTTCTTTGAGCCTTTTCAAGAGTGCCCTCGAACCTTTCCCTCTGCATAAGAGGATACAAAATCCTTGTTAGTATTTCCAAGGAAATGATAAAACACTCTTGTTGCACCAGGTTTCCATAATAAATTCAAGCAAATCCCAACAAAATCAAAGTCTCAAACAACCCTACATCATGAAATTAATTAGCTTCAAGTTTTCCCATTGACTCTTACATGTTTCCTTTTAACCCAAAAAGCCTACCTTCCTTGAAGACATAAAGGAAGATGGTAACCCCAAAGCTTGGTCATAGCAAACCGTTTTGCATGCCAAACATGAGTTCTCAACCTCTTGGTTCCATCCCCAGAAGTGCAAAAACCATTCTCTGGGTTATTCTTTAGTTCATATCTTCGACGAACACGCCGAGGAAGCTTCTTTAGTTCATCCTCCTCCAAACCTGATTTAGCAAAGGCTTTGCCCACTATTCCCACTTTCTGCCTCTTTCTTCTACGGCCTTTTCTTGCAATTTGGTTGTTAAATGCAGTTGTTCTTCTTCTCTTGTTCCTTTGAGACCTATAATCATTGTTTACTCGGTTTTCTATGATAGATTGTAGACTATGGAGCTCAAGGGCACGGGATTCAGCATATTTCTGCACATTGATTGTCCGAGGAGGTTGCAGTATAGGTAATGAAATTTGAGGCCTTTTGATTCCTTCACCAACCATGGTTACTGACTAATCAAATAAAAAAACGTTAGTTTACAATTTTTCATTGTATAGACACAAAACCAGAAGGACAAAAACAGGGCAAATCAAGGGAGCTCAAGGCAAAATCAGGAAAACCACAAAACAATGGCGAAACAAAATCAGGGAAACTAGAACCCCAAAACAATCCATATAACCCAAAAACAAAATCAGGGAAATAAGGGCAAATTCAAGGGATAAATAAACGAACCTGTTCGTGGTAACGTGCGTCCTTGCTCTGCGTGGGAACCGTCACGCGCGCCTCCTCTCTTGATCTCGGTGGTAGTTGCTCGAGGTGTAATGACTATATCCCATTAAACCAACATTAGGACGTAATATTAACAGCAACACGAATGTATAAACACCACACAATCTCTATTCCTTCACCACTCGTAGTTTAATCCAGTGTGTAACACCAATGTATGTAAAATCATTATCCAATCAACGTCATAACAGAACACAACATAATTACCGTATCATGCCATCCCATCGAAAAGCAATTCATAATTCTAAAATGACTGTACTAGATTCAGTACACGGTAATAAGTAGTGTCATATTAAGCACAAGTTTAACCATGCCTCTACAGTACTTTAACCACATATATCATACATAAACTACTCATGTTTTATTTTATATTATACACCACTTAATTCTAATCATTAGGAAGATAAGACTACTTCATGTTCTTTTTAAATCTAATGCAAAATAAATTTAGGCATTTAAGAACACTTAAGTGAAATCTTCTGCAGCTTTTTGGGAAAACTCAGCCTAAGGTAGACAATATAGTTCCCCGGGACTTGAAACCAACTTCTAATTATTACCTCTCATAGATTCAACCATTTATCATAGTTTAATATGATTTAAACCAAAGTCAAACAAGTTTTAAACAGTCCAGAAATGAATCCTGAGCAATTATATGTAAACTCAAATGCGTGAAAGCATTATTTATATATTCTACCAAACTCTTTGACATGGATAGACATAAGTACCCACCATGTATCTAGTAAATCATTTAAACATCCTAACACATTCTATATTTAAAGTAAAGACCATAAGATATATGCTGCTTTACTAAGTTCAATCACTTTTAACCCATACCATATCATCTGTGCTCCCATAACATCATATCTAATTCTAATTAAAATAACAAAACATGGCCGTTCACAACAATTCATTCCCAAGGGTCTAATCATACCATTCCCATTCTTGCTTATAAGATTTCCATCAGATTATATCAACCCTGTACAAGCATATTTATTCATCAAAATAATTCACGACTTCCAATCACAAAATATTCATTAGCTTTCTACTCTTAAACATACATGGTTTTATTTATTAATTTATTTATTTATTTATTTTATTATTTTCTTTTCTTTTTCTTTTTTTTATTAATAAAGTCACTGACATTTGCCCGCTCCAAAAACAATTTCCATAAACTTAGAATTATTCTTCCCCATTTAGCATCACAACTTCAGTGCATAGACTCAAGGTCTCATGTAATCCCACTCCTTCAAGTTACTGTAACTCATCCTACACTTTACAAACCAAAATTATAAATCCAATCAATTCATATATATATATATATATATATATATATATATATATACAATCCAAAAGGAGTCAAGAATGGTGGCAATCTCACTGTACAGAGGGAACCTTCACCGAGTACCGGAAGTGCCTCGCCGATGGCCTATGCCAGCCCCCAAAATCTCTCTCAAAGACTTCAAATGTCTTCTCGCTCGCCGTTCCAAGGCACTATCTCGCCTTCAAGCCTCCAACCCTAACCCTAACAACACTCTCCCCGACGACTCCCATCTTCAACCACCTCCCGACGCCGCCGTCACCGTTGCTCACGCCGAGGGCCCTTCCGCCGTCTCCCAAGAAGACGAAGATCGCAAAGAACCGCTACTGGTCGCCGTCAGTTCTGCCAAAAGACCGCTCGGCGAATCGGATTCGCCTGTCGATGCAATGATTGCTGAGGCTTCCGAGAAAAAACCGTTTGACGGTGCTGACCTTTCGACGGAAAAACAGATTGAGCCGGTAACCGGTTTTGGATTTTTTTTTCTATTTTTCGTAAATCGTTTATTGTAATTTTGCGTTGTTTGTTTGCGATTGTCACGTGTTTGTAATTTTGGCTAGGTCACTGACAATGTTGATCTGCCTGACGAAAAGGCGAAAAGGAAAAAGGAAATTGAGGAGAAGTTGCACGGCTTGAATGAGAATAAACATAACCTGGTGTTGGTATTGAAGCAGGTAAATGATACTGCATAACTGACACTAGTTTGTATCGACGTATTGATCTTCCTTGATTTCCGTCTGATATAGAATATGTTTTGAAAGTCTGAGACTTTTAATTGTTGAATGATAAAATGTCTGAAATGTTTTTTTTTT